TGTCGCTCTTTCCATTTCATTTCGGTAATGAGTAATTGATTTTCTCTGATACTTATGGGTTTCTGTATATGTATGTGCTTCTCCATATTGAATAAGTCGGCTAAAAATAGCCAATGAAATCTAATTATTAGGAAATTAAATTCATAATTTCTCGAAACTGATTTTCCGATGAGTAGAAATACTTTAGGTTAACATGTTAATTAATTGGGATTTTTTCAATTGTTCGAACTGAAATGTAATTAAAGTCGATGGCTAAAGTTATTACGGGTTTTAGGCAAATTAGTTAAGTGATTAACTAATGAAAATGGGAAGTTGTCCCACATTGCTTAATTGTGTTGCTAATGACATATATATATATATATGTAGAGAGAGAGAGAGAAAGAGTAGTATAATAAAGGTGACATAAGTATGATCGGGACACAAGAGTGCCGGTAAGCCACACCCGTGCGTGCCGCCCGGATCGGACCGAACCGGACATGACACATACGCGTGCATGGGCACAGACTCAGGTCGACTATTTGATTCAAATCCTTCAAAATGAAACCCTACAAGGTGAAACTTGCAAAGTTTGAAATGTTATTTCTTGATTCAAAAAGTCAAATATTCATAATGAGCATGTTTACAACATGAAATTTTGCAAAGTTCGAAAAGTATTTTACCAATAGTCGGATTTCAAACATGTCAAAGAATGCTCTGTTGGATAAATAAAGTAGCAGCAGAAGTGTAAATGTGTAAAATGGATGAAGAAAATTTTGTTATTACCACGACACTGATTATTTATACGTACATCCATTTAAATAGATAATCAATCATCCATTTAAATAGATAATCAATATACATTCAAGATAATAGTTAATTGATTCATAGGTTAAAAAATGTCTCTTGAACTCTCCAAAGTGACTTTAGAATTCCTCTTAATTAACTCCAATGCACAAGTTTAATTACATGCCATCATTTCCCCCTCTTTATTTGTGCCACATCGAGCTTTAACTTCAAGTAAATTCTTCAAATGTTGGAAATCGTCACCCTTTAATGCCTTTGTCAAAATATCGGCGACTTGCTCTCTTGAGTTCACATGTACCAATTTGACCTCTCATTCTTTAATCTTTTCTCAGATAAAGTGAAAGCGAGTGTCAATGTGTTTGGAACGATCGTGATGAACTGGATTTTTTGCAAGTGCAATCGCCGACTTATTATCCACATAAATCTTTGTCGCATCCTCCGATTGCAACTTTAATTCTAGAAGCAGTTTTCTCAACCAAACCGCATGACAAACACAAAATGATACCACAATATATTCCGCCTCACACGTAGACAAGGCAACGACAAGTTGTTTCTTTGAGGACCGAGTAAACATGGTATTACCGTAGAAGAACACGAATCCGGTTGTACTTTTACGATCCTAGTTGCTTCCAGCCCAATCGCTATCATTAAATCCAACAAGTTTTGCATCTCGATTACTTGGATATAACAACCATCCATCGTTCCTTTGATGTATTTGAGAATTCGCTTGGCCGCCTTCAAGTGAAATGTCATTGGTTTTTCCATGTATCGGCTTACCAACCCAACTCCATAAAGGATGTCTGGTCGGGTGCATGTTAAGTAACGAAGACACCCTACAAGACTTTTGTAGTAAGTCAGATTTTCCGGCCTACCTTCTCCCATTTTGGTTAACTTGGCACCACACTTTACCTGAGTATCAACAATCCCACACTCTTTCATTGAGAACTCTTTTAGAATCTCCTTGGCATAATTTTCTTGGAACACAAATTTTGTCGGCTTATTGTTGTACTTGAATTCCCAAAAAGAACTTCATAAGTCCCAAGTCCATCATCTCGAACTCCTTCTCCATAGATTGTTTAAGTTCTTTAACCATACTTTCATCACTTCCCATGAAGATCAAGTCATCAATGTAGAGGCACACTAATAAAATATCTTTTCTTGCATTTACCTTCATGTATAAAACATGCTCATAGGAACATTTGATGAATCCAACTCGAGAGAAATATTCATTAATTCTCAAGTTCCATGCACGCGGCGCTTGCTTCAAACCGTAAAGAGCTTTCTTCAATTTGAGAACTTTTCATTCTTGGCCTTTGACAATGAAACCCGGTGGTTGATCGACATAAACTTCTTCGAGTTTTCCATTTAGGAATGCGGACTTTACATCCGTTTGATATATTTTCCATTTTTTTTAGGCTGCAACAGAAATTAGCAATCGTACAGTCTCGAGTCGAGCCACCGGAGTAAAGACTTCTTCATAGTCGATCCCAAACTCTTGCTTGTACCCTTTTGCGACCAATCTTGCTTTATGTTTCTCCACTTCTCCCTTCTCATTTATTTTTGTCTTGAACACTCATTTCACTCCAATTGCTTGGTGTCTGTGAGGAAGTGGTGTAATCTCCCATGTGTCATTTTTTGTTATGACACAAATTTCCTCCCCCATAGCTTTCTTCCATTTAATTTCCTTGGATGCCTCTTCAAAGGTTAAAGGATCATGACCTGTAAAGAGACAAAAATTAAGGAACTCATCTTCAATTACCCGGCTGGAAGCATAAATATCTTGGATCCTTTTGGTTCGAAGGATAGGACTGCTGCTGGAATCATCACTGTCGGGGCTGCTGTTCGAATCATCACTTACTGGACCATCTCGGATGTGTTCTGAAAATGGAGATCCAATTTCTCCAGCTTCTTCTAGTCTCTCATTGCTGGTTTCAAGCTCATCTTCGAGTGGGACTTGAACGGATTGGTTTGGGAGGTTCCAATCCCATGCATGCACTTTATCAAACTCCACGTCTCTTGACATCACCACATTTTGAGTCACCGGATTGTACAACTTGTACCCGTTGCAATTTTTGCCATATCCCAAGAAAATACATTTTTGGCTTTTGTCTTCAAGCTTCGTTCTTTGCTCCTCTTGCACTTTAGCATACGCAATGCTTCCAAAAATTCGTAGATGATCAATTTTTGCCTTGTGCAAACTCCAAGCTTCTTCGGGAGTGATATCACCAATTCTTTTAGTCAGGAAACTGTTTAATAGATCAATAGAACAGACCACAGCATCACCCCAAAATTCTTTCGGAACATCTTTTTCTTTAAATAGAACAGGCCACAGCATCACCCCAAAATTCTTTCAGAACATTTTTTTCTTTAAACATACATCGAACTACGTTAAGAATCGTCCGATTCTTTCTCTCTGAAACAACATTTTGTTGTGGTGTTTGTGGCATAGTAAGTTGGTTTGAGATCCCATTATCTTTACAAAATATATCAAATTCCCGCGATGTGTATTCGCCCCCTCGATCGATCCGCAAGCATTTTATTTGACATCCACTTTGTTTTTCAACAAGCCCTTTAAATTGCTTGAATCTTTCAAAAACTTATTTTTTCTTCTTCATTATGTAAACCCATGTTATTCCACTATAATCATCCGTGAGGTTAAGAAGTACCTGTTACCACCAATGGAATAAAGAGAAATTGGTCCGCACACGTCGGAGTACACTAGTTCAAGTCCGGTGGACGCTCTCTTTGATTTGTACTTCGGAAATGACTTCCTTTGTTGATTTCCCATGACACACACCTCACATAACTTGCTAGGATACTTCATCTCTGGTAACCCAATCACCATATTATTTTTCTCAAGAATCTTTAACGCCTCAAAATTCAAATGCTCGTAGCGAAGATGCCAAAGTGTTGGGTTGTCAATGCTGGTTGCTTTGAGAGAGCTCACTTCATCGATGCTCAACTTTAATGGGAACATCCTGTTCTTCGTCATCTTTACATTGGTAATGAGATGATTATTCTTATCACGAATGCTTAGAGTCAAATCGTCCATTTTCACAACATATTCTTTCTCCAGCAATTGCCAAACATAATGTTTCTGACTCTTCTTTCATTAAGCTTGGCGAAAAACTCCTTTATTCCACACATGTGATTTGAGGTACTAGTATCCAAGAACCACATAAAATCATTTGTTGCTTCTCGTTTATTGCTCTCCATTAACAACACTATTTCATAATTATTTTCTTCTTTGTCAACAAGATTTTCCTTTTCCTCTACGTTGCTAGTATTATACCAACATTCATTGGCATAATGGCCACATTTCTTGCAAATATGACACTGAATTTCAGATTTGTCATACCTCTATCCGAAACTTCTTCCACGTCCACGACCTCGATATCTTCCTCGGCCTTGATTAAACCCACAACCTCGTACGTCATTGTAGGTGGAGTCTCAACCTCCTCGTCCTTTATGTGGCTGAAATCCGCCACGTTGTGATCCTCTTCTAAAATTGTTTCTTTTAAATGTGAGGGTGGCTTGAAGAGCTTGCTCCAAAGATTGATCCCCTCCTTGGCTTATGAGTCGTTGTTCGTAAGCTTGTAACGAACCCATCAACTCCTCCAGCTTCAATGTATCAAGATCTTTGGATTCTTCAATGGCAACGGCTATATAATTGTACTTCGAATCCAAAGATCTCAAGATCTTTTCAATCACTCGAACATCGCTTAACTCATCACTGTTTTGTCTCATTTCTTGGACGATAGATACGACTCAAGAAAAATAAGCAGAGATAGACTATGAGTTATTTTGGCGCAGTGATTCAAATTGTGCTCTCAAGGCTTGAAGTCAGATCCTCTTTACTTTGTCAACTCCATCGTGGGCTTTCCTCAATATCTCCCATGCTTCATTCGCTGTTTTTGCTGTAGCAATTAACTCGAAGGTGGATTCGTCAACTCCTTGATATATTGTGAGCAAGGCCCTGTTTTCCTTTCTCTTCATCTCCTTTGTTTCTCCACAGTAATCTCCGTCGATATCGATGCTGCTGTGTATTCATTTTCCACAAGGTTTCAAATCTCTGATACCAATTTTGTTGGATAAATAAAGTAGCAGCAGAAGTGTTAATGTGTAAAATGGATGAAGAAAATTTTGTTATTACCACTACACTGATTATTCATACATACATCCATTTAAATAGATAAACAATCATCCATGTAAATAGATAATCAACCGATGCAAAGTGACTTTAGAATTCCTCTTAATTAACTCCGATGCACAAGTATAATTACATGTCATCATGCTCAACCGCTTGATGTACCACATTTCAGCAGTTCGAACACTAACATTTACTCCTTAAAAATTTTGCACGTCTTGAATGAGCCTCGTCATATCCACGTACGACAACCCGTCTTCCGCCGTCGCCCTTCTCGCCATTTCCCCGAGCTTCCTCGCCCTCTCTCGCCTCTTTTTCCCTTCGTCTCCTCCATCCATGACCTGATCAATTGCCATCCTTATCTCATCGCTCGTCACGTGCGCTCCCACGGTATATTCCTCCCCAAAAAGCACCGGCATTACGCCGATACTCACGGCTGTCTTCATCACATCCACCAAAAACTTCTCGTTGATAAACTGCTCGCCGAAAAATGGCCACGTAGCCATAGGCAACCCGGCCGAGATTCCTTCCATTATCGAATTCCATCCACAATGCGTCAAGAACCCCCCGATTGAGGCATGGGACAATATCAACAACTGCGGCGCCCACCCATGGATCAATAGCCCACGCCCTTTAACCCTTTCCTCGTAATTTTCTTTGCTAAGCCATGCTTTAAATTCATTGGTCGACTTCTTCACAGCCCATACGAAAGATCGTCCCGATGCCTCCAAAGCTAACCCTAGCTTGATCATCTGCCCGGCATCCATCCGCGACAAGCTTCCAAGGCAGACGAACATAACAGAACCGTGATCGCGCGAATCGAGCCACGTCAAGCATTTGTGCTCGTCAATGGCAGCCCTGTTGCCCCTCTCAGCCTTGTCTACCTCATCCTTATTGCACATCGACACCGGGCCGATGCACCAAGCCCTTTCGCAACGTATCTTCCTATAGTGTTCAACGTATTTCAGCTCGAGATCTTCGAACGTGTTGAACACTGCCCCGAACGATTTCCTCTCAGCTTCGAAGAAATCTTGCTGCACAACGTACCAATCCGGAGTGATTTGAGTTGTCGTCCCTCGAATCTGAGCTTTGGTAATCTGAACTGTATCCGGTAAATCGGGCACCGTGAAGTATTCCGTATCCGACGCGACAGCCTTGACGGATTCGGAAGCTTCTAGAACATTCCACATGGCGTGAGCGAAACAGGAGGTCCCGTGGAAAACGATGCGAGGAATGCCCAAATTGAGGGCCAGATTGGTCGTCCATGGAAGAAGCATGTCGGAAATCAGGCAGGTTGGGCGGGGGTGGAGGCGGTCTTTCAGCAAGTTTTCGACGTCGTCCTTCATCAAGGCGGCGCCGGTCGTTAATTTAATGGCGTCGTGGGTCGAAGGGAGCATGTCGAAGTTCTCGCAGCCTTCGGGCAGCCCGACTTTGGCGCAAGGGAACTTGACTAAGGCGACGCGAATCGGCAGCCCTGAGGCGGCGGCGCGGTCGATCAGCGGGCTGATCCGCCGGCTGTTGATTGGAGTTAAGAGTATGGTGGCGGCGACGCCACGGGCGGCGAGGAGGCGTGCGATGTCGACAATGGGAAGTATGTGGCCTTGCGCCATGTACGGGAACAGGACGAAGTGAGGTGGCGCCTGCGCGTCGTCGCCTACACTTAGAGCCATGGCGGAAGAAGAACAAGAAAAACAATAAGCTGGAGTACAGTGCAAGTGCAAGTTATAAATATAAATATATATATATAGTTGAAGATTCTTCAATGTTTGTATCTATCAGTTTAAATTGGAATAGTGCTGTGCTTGTTCGTATCTATCAGTTTGATTAAGTTTCAATCATGTGAATGGGAGAGAACTTGGAGAGCACGCTGAAAGTGTAGGCTGCAAGATCCGACAGAAGAGATGACCATTAAAGTGATGGGATATGGTTTCCGCTGAAAAGTATGCAATATAATTATTGATTAATTAATTCTTTTGTGGTCGGCAATGGCAGATTTGACCGTCGTCTCACTTTAACCAATCACTTGTTATCTTCGACTTGGCTTCCGTAGGTAATATGGGTTTAGAAAAAAATAATTCAAATCACATATCATTTTATTTTCTTATATCTGTTTTATATAATTTTATTATATGTTTAAATTAAAATTTTAATTTTATAAATCATAAATTTTTAATTTTAATTCAAATAATCGTGTATTTCATTTGGATTAACTTAAAAATACAGAAGATAATAGCAAAAGCTAAAAGCAAAAAAAATTTTAATTTATGTTTAGATATATTGTTATAAGAATTTTTTTTTTTTTTTTAATAAAAAAGTGATTGAATATAATAAAGTTAAAATGATTTTTTAACGAAAAAGACATACAATTATTTTAAAATGTATTTTCATTTTAAACTTTTATAATGTATTTTTAAAATTTTACAGATAAATTAAAAATATATTAAACAATATAATTAATAAATGTCTTTTTAATTTGGTATCAAATTATATTTTAATTTTTTATTTAAGTATAATAGATAAAATTAAAAAAAAATTAATTTAACTGAAAAAATCAAAATATTAAATTTACATGCATTTAACAAAAATAATAAAGTAAAGATAATAAAATTGTGAATGGATGCAATTGTTTATTATGAATAATTTGTGCATAAGTTTAGCAGATCATTACAAAAAATAGTTACATAATTTTATTGAACTGAAGGAATCATTATATAGATGCACTTTGTTATGAGTCCACCGGATTTAGTTTCTATGTTTGATGCATCAAAGTTAGTGAAGTTAATGCATTATATCAACATGATTATAATCATATGGATAGAAATACATTGGAGCGTGAACTTGATATTTACTATGAGACTATACTTTAAGATTAAATATTTATTAATTTAGATAGTATTAGCAATCTTGCTAAAATGATGGTGCAAACAAAAAGCACATTTCTTATCCTAATGTCTTTTGATTATTGAAACTAACTTTGGTTTTACCAATCACAACAACAACAGCTGAAATATATTTTTTTGATATGAAACTTGTGAAGTCAGATTTATGCAATCGCATGGGTGATGATTGTTCGAATGATTCGTTGATTTGTGCTATAGAGAAAGAAACACTTGTTAATGTTTCGAATGAAGCAGTAATTAATAGATTTTAAAGCACGAAAACATCGAGAATAGTTGTAGAAGATAAATTGTTCTTATTTTTTATAATAAAATTGATTTTTTTAATTTATTTTATTTTTAACTTTATATATTGTGCTACGGTGAATATTTTTTCTAAATCCGCCTCTGACGACAATCCCCCGTATTTTATTAGTGCATTGAATAAGTATTATCTTTTAGACCTTTTGAGTTATTTTTCATCAATTTTGTCTTGTATAAGCTATTATTACATTAAATAGATAGATCTACATGTGGGCAATTTATCTGTGTTTTTTTAAGGTTTTTCAAGTCTTCGACCCAAATTATTTTTCTCTCTTTTATTTACAATACACAACCCTTCCCTAACTTTCACACGCCCTCATATATAATTACTCCGCCCTTGCACAAAAAAAAAAAAAAAACTAAAAAAAAAACTCTTTTTTTACCCTACTCACCGTCGCCCTTGGTTGTGTTGCTTGTCAAAGGCCGTGAAGCAAAGAAGGGTCGGCAGAAAGGCAACGTTATTGAACTGTGTGTTTCACCCGGCAGTGGCACAGCAAAAGGTCGGTAAAACCGGAGGAGAAGGAAATTCAATAAAAATGACAAAAATACTATTGCAGACCGTATTGTTTTAGTTAGGGCAAAATAATTAAATAAAGTATATACTATGTCCGTCCAGCTATAAAGGCCACGTTTACTTTTTGCTTATTGATTTTTGAATATTAATTATTATATCATAACGCAGTATAATTCAAGAATAAATGACAGAAATACTTTTATTAGTGTCGTTTTATGATACTAATATAATTAACAATACTTGTACAAATTATACAAAATACTTTTAATATTAGTACGCAAAAGATAAATGCAACCCTTTAAAGGTAGAAAGAGAAGTACTTTATAATAATAATCATTTAATTATAATTAAAGTTTAATATATATTTATAACAATAAAAATATAATAATATTAATCACAATATTCCATTATTATTATTATTATTATTTTTCATCTTATTTAATTTAAATTATTTTTTATTAAATTACAAATTCACACAAAAATCAATTATTATTTATCAAATTAATATCTATCAAAACTAGCAAACTCAAACAAAATTTACTAAGTTAAAAAAACACAGTTTTTCAAAACTATTAAAAAAAACTTTGAATTCAATTCAAACCAAATCAAATATTCACAAACCAACACCAATGGAACACCATTTTATTTTTTTTTTTTAATACAACAAAATACAATAAATTGAACACCAATATATACATATATATCTTTTTTTCTATATATTATAAAAGATGAGAATTACTATGATGATTTATTTATTTTATTTTATTATATTTTAAAAAGAATACAGAGGTTATATGCATTTGTCCTCTAATGATAATAAACACAATGTTGAAAATACAAGAAAGATTAGAAAGCATATATATGAATTAAATTATGAACATCACAAAACATATCTTTATATAATATAAATAGATAAACACATTACATTTGCTCTCTGCAAAGAATTATTGATACAACACACACACACAAAAAAAAAAAAAAAAAAAAAAAAAAAAGACAACAACAACACATACTAAGAATTTATACAGCATATGCTGTATTTCTTCAAGTATGTTGTGTCGACATTTTATTTCATATGCTTATTAGAGTTAATGGTGATTAACTCTAGTTACTTTCATATGGTGATTAGGGCTAATGATGACTAACCCTAAATACCAACCTAACCATTTCCATTATAAATACATTTACTCCATTCATTATTTTATTTTATTTTATGACGTGGGAACTCGCAGCCGCTACCCGAAAGAGCGCACGGGATAAACCCCGGCCAAACCTAATCCGTTCCTTTATTAGTATGGAATTTTGTTTTGATATTAATACCTGTGCCCTTAAACTTGGCTTCTATTATCTTTTCTATATCTTCGGCCATTTTCGGTGAAAGATAATTACTCCAATTTCCAACTTTACCCTCTCTAAAGAAGGTAGATTTTTTAAATGTGGCATGGAGATATCCTTGTTTGTTCGCTTCTATGTTTTTTAAGGTCTCGAAACTACATAACTTTGCGATTTCTTCAGCCATCCCTTGTTTTTCTTCTTCAGCAGTAAAGGGACATCTGCAATTCAAGATTAATTGTGTTTAAATCTAAACGAACTTAATTCTAAATTTGATTAAGCATTACACAAAAATAAAAATAAATTAATTAATAAATAAATAACAATTGAAACTTTAAACTCTCTTCAAATATTATTTTAATGTGCAGTGTTAAATTAACACTACAAAAAAATATCAATTATGTAACAAGATTTTTTCGTTCTTAAATCTACTTTTTCCGTTACTAATGATATTAGAGACGGAATTAGAGATGAAATTAGGTTAACTACGTGAACTTTAGAAACGAAATTCCGTTACAAATATACTATTTTTTTTAAAAAGTGTAAGGGCAAATTGGACATAATTGATGGGGAGCCCCCCTTCCCCACCTCCATTTTTTATTTATTATTATGTATTTAGCTTTTTTTTTCTTTTTTTTATTATGTGTATATATATGCTTTAAAATAATTGAAGAATATATAAAAAATATATTAGGTTTTGTTTGAATAATTTTTAATAAAAATAGTGTTCCTTTTGTCAAAAAAAAAAACTGCACAAATCTTTACATTTCACATAAAAATATATATATATACTTTCAAACCATTTTACAAAACAATCACGCTAATTTTTTTCTTCCAAAGTGTCATACTAAAATATTATTAAAACAAAAAATTAAATAAAATATTTGAATTAAAATAAAAGCCAACATACCTTTTTTTTCATCTAAATATATATCATTTTTTAGTAAAATAATTAAAAAAAAAAATACTATTCTTATCCATTTTTATTAAAATTTATGCCCAATCCATGGGCATAATTTTAAAATCTTAATTATTTTTTCTAAGTATTTTTATTTAATGAAAAAATTATTATTTCTTGATTTCAAACCATACATAAAAAAAAAAAATATCTACAATAAATAGTAGAGCTATAGTTGTTATTTATTAATACTAGCTAGTAAAAATTTTCAACGACGATTAACTTCAACAAACACTAAAAATAAACTGCATTATTTTAAAATATTAGAAAATTACTGTTAATATATTTACATAGGGAGGCGATCACCGACCACCTTCCCACCCTGCCCCACCTCATTTATAGTATATATATATACTCTATATGTGCATATATACATGCACATATATGTACATATATACTCCCACGTTCCGGCGGAAGATGAAGTCTTTTGTTCGGGACACAGTATTTTAGGTAATGTAGATTATTAAATTATTAATAATAAGTTAAGATAATATTTTATTATTTTTAAATGTGTAATGTTGTTGGTATTTTAAATATTTTTAAAATTATATCTTAATAAAATATATGCAATATGAATATCATTTTGTAGACGATAAAATTTTATATAATACAAATGAATAAAAAAATATATCTATTTATTTATCATTATTATAAATTAGTTTTATAAAAAAAATGAGGAGTTTATTAATTGAAGAGAGAGATAGAATTAAAAGGGTTTTGAATGGGTCCTACGTATAAGATGTTATAAGTTTAATTAAATTGATTTATATTTGTTAAGTATGTTTAAGATTGAAAAACTTACCAAAAATAGAAAAGAGTTATCTTTTGTGGGACATACTAAAAAGAAAATGAGGTCATCTGTGGCGAAACGGAGGGAGTACTTTATATATACATTTACATTGGATTTTTTGTCCTATTAACACACCCTATCACCTATCTTCACATACATAATGTATATATATGCACATATGTGTATATATTAATGTATATATACAAGTCATGTATGCGGGGATAGAATTAATTTTTGGGATGAAGAATCCCATGGAATATAAATCATCTATATATATACACATACATATATATATGTATATATGTGAGGTAGGGCAGGGTGGGAGGGGGCGGTGATCCCCATGGATGTCAAAATTAAACTCGATCCGATAAATCAAACTCATATGACCTGAAATTTTTCAGGTTCGAGTTTAGGTATTTCGGGTTTGCCAAAAAATCGGGTCGACCCAAATTCAAAATGAAAAAAATTCGTGTCGTGTTCGGGTCGTGTTTCGAGTTGACCTGATAACCCGAAATATAAAAATCAGGTTAGGTTTGGGGGTTTCGTGTTTCGGGTTGACCTAAAATTTTGATTATTATTATTTTAAATATAAAATAATATAAAAATATAAAATAAAATGATTCTTTTTAGGTTAATTTAATTATTTTTAAGTTTTCATGTCGGGTTCGTATCGAGTTTGTTCGGATTTCGGGTGACTTGAAATTAATTTAGGTCAATTTGAACCCAACCTGAAAGAATTCGTGTCGTGTTCGGGTCTAAAGTTTCAGGTCAAATTTTAAATTCGAGTCGGATTCAGATTGACAGTTTTTTTGTTCTCCCCATTGCTCAACCCGACACGAACACAACTCGAAAATAGGAATTGACACCCAGTTATCCCCTCCATTTACATAACATTATTATAAACTAGAGCATAAGCGTCATTAGGGCTATATACGTATTGCAATTATATATATATATATATATAATTCCATAAATGATTGCATACCCCAGGAATTCAGCAATCTTGTTGACATGCCCCACTGGGTCCTCCTTCATCTCCTCGTAGTGTATGAACAACACCTTCCTCGGATTCTCCAAATGTTCCTTCCAATATCCAAGAATGTGCTCCCAAAACGGTCCGCATACGTCAATCCCCCGGCAGAACTTGTCGAATTCCTGGTCGATGGCGGGGGGCGCCGCCTCCTCCATCCCCACCAGGTTGGCGAGCAAGAATTGGCGAACCGAAACGAACCGGTCGAGAGGGTTCCTGCAAATATAAATGATTCTGCAGTTATCTGATTCTCGGACAGAATCGGGAAGCATCACGTGCGGCGCATGCGTGGAGAAGATTCTAGGGCTTGGGATTCCTTCGAGGTCAGGGTTGTCGTGTTTCAAGTAGTGATTGAACTCCAAACTGCCGACGACCTCTTGCGGGTGGGCAGTGAGGAGGGGGCTCTGCCCCGGGGGGTAAAGGCCGCGTTTGGCAATGGACAGTGCTAAGGCGACCAGCCATGTTGTCCCTGATTTGGGGAGTGACGCCACTATTACGTCACCGTCTTTGGCTCTGAAGTTGGTGCGTGCAGACAGCAGCGGTTGTAGTGTGAAGTCGACGTACCATGTGCCCTCGTATTTGACGAGGATTTGGTTGTCCCAATTCTCCTCTCGCTCCAGCAAATCAGTGGCTGGGGAGGAAAGGGTTTTAGGGCTTTCTGTTTTCTCCATTTCGGGAAAGAGGATAGTGTTTTAGGGCTTGGTTGGTTATGGTTGTGTTGATGTGTTTTACTATATAATATATATATATATATAGTTAGACTGGTTGATTGAATGTTGAACAGAAAAGGAGTGATGTGACAGGTAGGTCGTGTACTAAATTATTTATTGAGGGCGTGTTTCTTTGGCCCCTTTTGGGCAATTTAACAGTGGCCCGCGAATTTATGTATTTTCGGATAGCGGCTGCAAATTTTCATATCATAAATTAAAAAAAATAATTTTGGACTGTGTCGGTTTGGAGGGACAAAGTTTGAAAAGGCTTTGTTCCATTTTTTATTAGTATTTTTTATTTTTTAAATTATAAATATAAAAAATTACTCCCTCCGTGGAAGATTGTCATTTTTTATTTTTGTCTGTTACAAAATAAGATTATCATTTTCTAATTTAATAATTGTACTATCTACCTAATATAATAAATACCCTTCCAACTTATATTATAAAAAAGTAAACGTTGCACGGAGACGGAGGAAGTATAATAATTATAATTGAATAAAATATATATAATATATATGTCATTTTGTAAAGAATAAGTTTTTTTATAATACAAATAAATAAAAATTTATAAATATATATGTAAATATAAAATAAATTTATATCAAATTATACAAATTAGTACACATTTATATTATTATATTCATTACCATCAAATCAATACACATCAAAACTCTCCAAACCCAAACACAAGATAAACACATAAATTCAAACTCACTTCAAAATTCAAATAAAATTCAAACTCAAACCCAAATTTTCCCAAAACCCCCTAAAGAATTAATATACTCCCTCCGTCCAGTAAAAAAATTGTCGTTTACTTTTTGCACGCAAATTTTTAAATATTAGCATTATATTTTGTTGTAGGAAAAAAAATTATTTTATTCATATTGTGTAATATAAAAGTAATGTCATTTGTGTAATATAGTGTAAGTTAGAAGAGTATTTATTATGTTAGGTAGGTAATACAATTACTAAATTAAAAAATAATAACTTTGTTTTGAGACATATGAAATGGAAAATGACAACTTTTCATTAGTACGGATCTCATTATAATTGAATCCTTTAATTAGGGATAGGAAACTTAAGATAAGAATATTTAATTAGTTAATTATAATGAATTATGGTATTATTTTATTACTTTATATTTAATTAATAATATTGATAATTTTAAAGTAAATTTAATATATATGATTCAAAAATTTAAAATATATATTTAAATATTTTGAAAATTATGTAGTAATAAATAAATATATACGATATGGATATCATTTTCTAAAGAGTAAAATTTTTATAATACAAGTAAATAAAAAAATATTTTTATTTATTTATAATTACATAAATTAATTTTATAAAAGATGTGAAGTTTTAAATATACATAATAATATTTATTTTTTTACGGAGAGAAATAGAAATAAAGGGATTTTGAGTGGGTGTTACGTATTTATGATGTTATATATTAATTAAGCTGATTTATATTTGTAAAGTATATTTTAATTTAGTAAATTTTATCCAAAATAAAAATAATCCCTCCGTCTTGGAAGGGTGGCGTTTGCTTTTTGCACGTAGATTTTTTAATATTAATATTATATTGAATTGTAGTTGTAGACACTAAAAATATATGTCTAAAATCAATTAAATATCATGTATTTTAGAAGAAAATAAAATTCCAATAAAATAAATATATGATATTTAATTATGCACATATGTTAATTTTTGTACAATAAATATCAACCATTAATGCAAAAATATGCTTACAATGGAAGATATCGTACAAATATTACGTGCATAAATAGAGCCATAATAAATTTGGCAGCAAAATAAATTAATCTTGTCAATAAATGAATTGATCTTGTCACTAAAGGAAGTATAAATTAATATCTTCCAAAAAAAGGCAATGATATAAAGATTTTGGCGAGAAAGGAAGGTGCACAATCAAATCCGTCAAGAATGAAAAACAGCATCGGATGGAAAATGAAAGATTATAAAATCTTTCCATACACGTGGCACTATCCGAAAAGGAAGCCAAGGCCACCCATCCCCTATAAATAGGAGCCATGGCCAATTCATTTGGGACACCGAAGTTCATTTGAAGACTCGCGCAAGGGTAAGTTTCTCTAGACTCTCTGCAATGTTCTTCATTGTTCTTTGTGTCCTTCGAAGCGTTCTTCGTCGACAAGTCACCAATTTGGACAAATGATCCGATATTGGTTGGCGAATCGATGAAGTTAACGTTCTTCGTCGTATGTCCAAGCCGGAGGAAGGATCAAGGCTCTCAAAGCCGTCGAGGAATTCGTCAAAGCCAAGGGAAGGTCTTCAAAGTTTCTCTCAAGGCTTCGAGGAGTTCATCGCGTTCTTCGTAAAAGGCGCAAACTCGGCCCTCTTCGATCCAAAAGTCAAAGGGACACGCCGCCAAAAGCGTTATGGAGCACCAAATCCACCTTCTCAAAGATCAGAGTTGCGGATCGTTTAAAGAGGACATCAAATCCAAAGCTTAGGATCAAATCACCCGCACGGAGACCAAAGCCCTCCAAAAACGGCAAATATAAATCAAAGATCAAAGCTGTGGATCGTCCAAAGAAGACATCAAATCTAAAGCTGATGATCAAATCGCCCACACGGAGACCGAAGCTCTCCAAAAGGCGGAAAAGACAAACTAAAGATCAAAGTTGCGGATCGTCTAAAGAAGACAACAAATTCAAAGACGATGATCAAATCGCCAATACGGAGACTAAAGTCCTCCAAAAGTGGCAAAGTCAAAACAAATGTCAAAGTCGCGGATCGCCCAAAGAAGACAACAAATCCAAAGACGATGATCAAATCGCCAACATGGAGACCAAAGTCCTCCAAAAGCGGCAAAGTCAAATCAAATATCAAAGCCTCGGATCGTCTAAAAAAAGACATCAAATCCAAAGCTGACGATCAAATCGCCCGTACGGAGATCAAAACCCTCCAAAAGCCGGCAAAGTCAAACTGAAGACCAAACCTCTTCGGATCAAAGAAGCCATCGAAAATCAAGTTGGAAAATAAATCGACCCGGAAGGAGAATCAAAGGACCCATTTAGAGAATAGGACCGGCTTTAAATTCAAATCAAATATAATTTGTACAAATTTTGTGTTTATTAAAAATAACACAATTTTTTGTCCACAGATTTTTGGCACGCCCAGTGGGACCTCTCTACCTTTTATCTCTCTTTCCGACGAACTTTCAACAACCAATGGCTTCCTACAAGATCAAGACTTTCAACGTTGCATCAAAAGTTGCAGCTCAAGCCGCCGTCGCTGCCAAAGAAGTTGGCACACCCATTGCGTCCAAAACCTCAAGCGCTTCAACAAATACTGGAATGACAATACAAAGCATGACCAAAAGAGCATTGTCGTTATCTGAAGACACTTCTCCAAAAATCACAGAGCAAAGTCCACTCTATGAAAAAGACGACAACTTTAAGAGTACTTCCGCACTGTTCACCCCTCAACAAACTACAAGTCATTCAACCGCATCAAGCTCTGCTCCGGTGATGACTACCAACGCTTCAAATATTGAGGACCCAAAGATTGTGGATCAAAATCTTCTCTGCGAGGAATATAAAAGCTTCAAAAGTACTTTCATGCCACCTACTCATCGGCCAATTTCAAGTCATTCAACCGCATCAAACTCTGCTCCGGTGATGACTATCAACGCTTCAAATATAGAAGATCAACTTGCAGCATTGGCCAAAATCGTTGAAGGAATGTCTCAACACATGCAACAACAAGACGCCCTCATTGAAAAACTTTTCACAAAGCTGGACAAGCATGAAGAAGCCGGCTATGCAACTGAAAAACAACAATCTTCCCCAGCGGTCCAAAATAAAGCGGCAACATTTGTGGACCAACGTCATGGCAAAGAAAAGGTGGCGGAATTAAATCCATTTCAAGGATCATCCAACTCCTTCATCCATATATCCCAACTTGACAAATACATCAAGGGGGCAATCAAAAGAGAATTTGAAGGGAGTTCAAGGCCGACGCACACTTACGCCAAGCCTTACACTGCAAGAATTGACGTCCTCAAAATGCCAACGGGCTATCAACCACCAAATTTTCAACAATTTGACGGCAAAGGCAACCCAAAGCAACATATAGCGTACTTTGTCGAGACATGCAACGATGCTGGAACATATGAAGACCTCCTAGTCAAACAATTTGTGCGGTCACTAAACGGCAACGCTTTCGACTGGTACATCGACAATTGGGAACAACTAAAGTACGAGTTCTTGAATCGGTTCTACAACACAAAGAGAACCGTCAGCATGACTGAACTCACCAACAGCCGCCAATGGAAAGATGAACCAGTAATTGACTACATCAACCGCTGGAGAAGTTTAAGCCTCAACTGCAAAGACCATCTGTCCAAGGCTTCCTGCATAGAAATGTGCATTCAAGGGATGCAATGGAGCTTGAAATACATCCTACAAGGGATCCGACCCCATACTTTTGAAGAACTCGCCACTCGCGCTCATGATATGGAATTGAGCATGATGTCTAGTGGAATGTATGGACCGTCTACTGAAGATTTCTCAGAAGACGAAAAATACAACACTCCAAACAGTGGTGGCAGTCATACCTTCACCACTCCTGGAAATGAGGATAAACTTTCTGCAATCTCCTGGAAATGAGGATAAACTTTCTTCACTCTCCTAGAAACGAGGATAAACTTTCTGCAATCTCCTGAAAATGATGATAAACTTTCTAACAATACTCCTTAACACGAGAATAAACTGTTAACAAAAACAAACAAATTCAATTTGTTTTGAACTACGTTATGACTTGATTCCTTAACCGGATACGTAGGCAACTTGGAATATAACTCCGAGTTCAGTCAATTATGCCAAAAAAAAAAAAGAAAAGACAAGCACTAAAAAATAAATCGGGCAAAAAAAAAAGTCCAAAAAAAAATCGAGCTTAAAAAAATCAATTAGATAAAAAAAATCTCATCCCGAAAAAAAAAAAGAAAGAAAAAAAA